TAAGAGATAGTCTACCAGAATGGATGACTTTTTTTTGTACAATTTTATGTTTTCTGATGGTTTCGGTTGTGCAAAACATGAGAATTAACTTTTTCAATACTTTCAATTGTACAAAGCATTAGAGCTAGAAACAAGATCTTGTAAACACTACACACCTTAACTGGTATTTTGCTAAAAAAAATGCTGCAACAATCGTCAAGCTCGCTGTAATGTCACCAAGTGCCTCGTCACCTACAAATTGGCGCCTATGTCAGTGGTCTAACAAGTCTTAGCGCGCTAATGGCATAGTTCCCCTGCCGCATAGAGAGTTGCCGCAATGATATTAGCACAGACAAACAGACATAACAGTCGCAAGTTGTTGATCGAACAAGCATTTAACGGTCAATTTAAAAGTATCGTAGTTGGTAGTACCGCCACTTGTGGCGCGCATAGTCAATTTCCTTGCGTTTGACGTTTACACACTACCGCCATCTGTTCAGCGTACTACCCACCACAGTGTACTCAATAGATGGCGATAATGTTTTAGCGACGATGTTTTACATTGAGAAATATTCAATGTGTTATGTCTGTTTGTCTGTGATATTAGGTTAGCTAAGGTCAGTTAACTGACTGGTGGGAAACGGGAGCTTCAGCATTGACTGTTATGTACGCATTTTTATGATGTAATCTAACAACAAGCGTGTGTAGTGTTTACACGATCATGTTTCTAATTTTAATGTGTTGTAAATATAATTGAAAGCATTTGAAAAGTAAGATTCTAGTGTTTTGTATATCTAAAAACATTAGTAAACATCTACATTTGAAAACATTCAAACAACGTTTACTTTAAACGTTTTGTACATCTGAAAACATCAGAGAACAACAAACACGAAGAACAAATGAAAACATCCGAACAACGTTTAGTTCTAACGTTGTGTACATCCGAAAACATCCAAAAAAGTTTGGTTCCAGCATCGGGAGGCATCTACGTTAGAAAACATCAGAATACATTTACATATAAAAACATCCGAACAACGTTTAGTTCTAACGTTTTTTACATCCGAAAACAACCAAAAAACGTTTGATTCTAACATCAGGAAACCTCTACATTAGAAAACATCAGAAAACGTTTACATATAAAAACATCCGAAAAACGTTTAGTTCTAACGTTTTTTACATCTGAAAACATCCAAAAACGTTTGTTTCTAACATCAGGAAACATCTACATTAGAAAACATCAGAAAACGTTTACATTTAAAAACATCCGAACAACGTTTAGTTCTAACGTTTTGTACATCTGAAAACATCCTTAAAACGTTTGGTTCTAATGTCAATAGATTGAAATTTTTGACGTCAGACCGACATTAGAATGGCAAAATTTTGTTCCAAAATTTCTGATGTGTACACCATGTTACGTTGCTTAAATACAACTAAATCATAATGTTTCCTAATGTTTGACATCAGGCATACATTTGATTTCGATGCTGATGTAGACATCAAAATCAAACGTTGGGCTAATGTAAATTTCTATTCGGGCTCTTTCTCTTCACGATCATGGTGTTGATTTGCTTGAGTGAGTTTTCATTTACGAGAATTTCACACAAAAGTAATTGTTTTTGTTTGCAGCATTGGCCCTTACGAAAGTAAGCATTGGCATTGACGGCGACTCTGCAACTCTTTACTCCTGGTAAAATCCCATAAGCATCTGACAATTTGTGCATGAAATCTAGCGGACTTTGTCTTATCTCTTCATTCCTCCAGCAAGCCACCGTTTCTTCACGCAAAGAGTGACAGAATCATATGGGATTTTCATAGGAGTGAAAGGGTAAGGAAATGTTCACCAAGTTTCACGCACAGACTGATGTTTGCTTATGGGATTTTACCATATGAGTGAAGAGTTACAGAGTGATCGAAGCGGCGAATTGTCAAAAGTCACGGTCAGCGATTGTTCCTCCGCTGTTTAAATGCTTGACGGAGTTTGACGTGTGGCCATTCTTTTTCGACTAGCTCGACAGGGGGCTTTTAAAAGGATTTTTTAACTACCCAACAAATAATTTGAGCTAAATAATGGCTGAATAAGCCATTTTTTAGCTGAAGAATCATATTTTTGCCTGAATAAGCTCTTATTCTGTATGCAATGTTTGTTGGGTAGTATTTTCAAGTCAATCAGAAGCCAATCAAGTGCGTCGTTGTTAACGATTTTAAATTGGCTCACCACTTTAGTAGCCTATTGGTCCCAAGCAAACGATTAACGTACCCTATTCTAGTCGAAATTCTAGTACTACGCAATGTTTGTTTTGATTCGCTATGAAAGTTTGACAGATAAAATGAGGGGCTATAAGCCATTTTACGAGACGTTTTGATGACAGTTCCTGGCGGGCCGCTCGTGGCATTGTTATTGTTTACGTCTGATATTTTTGTTTTGATTCTCTACACGGCCAACAAAAGTAACTCACGAGTGTATGGGCTTGCCACGGATTTACCCAAAAAGTAAGCAAGCTAAACACACTCCGTGAGTCACTTTTGATGGCCGTGTATTGCGAATGAAGATATTCGGCCCGCCAGTAAATGTCAAATTAGTAAACAGAATAAAATCAGCTGACTCGATCTGTCTCGTAAAATGCCTTATTGGTTTTTCCTATGTTTCGAGGGGTGATTCGACAAGCTTGGAACCGATGATAGTACCAGAGGTGAGCCAAAAAGTTGAGCACGTTTCTTCGGGACCTACTTGTCTTAGAGTTACCTCTATGGTAATATTGCCTATTTACAGATGCATTATTTCTTCGTCTCTTCGATCTTATTGGTTTGCATTGGATTTATTACGGAAATTGTGTTATTGCATGTAATTTGATGCAAACAATTCGAAGATTTGATGATTACGTTGAATAGGTGTGAAACTATCATTTTGTCTGTGGTATGTTGAAATATTGTTAACTGTGCTTTTAGTGAGTCAACTTGTGATTACATCACGAAATATCTATTTGATGCATATTAACGATTATTTTCGTTAGTTTATAGTGTTTAACTTTGAAACACCCTAATAAAAAATAACCATAAACGAACGATAACCCAAATCATTGAACTATTCCACAAATGGTTTGGATGATACCCAGAACACGTCGTTAAGCAAATTAACCATACAATTTTTATTAGGGCAGCTAGCTGGGAGTCCTAGTGGGAGTCCCACCCTGGGACCTTAGCCATAGTGGTCGAAAAAAAATTTGTTATGATTGTGTGTAGCTCCTCTTTTGCGTTTTCGATCAACAAGGATCAATCTTACCATGTTTTTTGTTACAAAGTAATTGGAGTAGTCGCCTTCTTAGTGTTGGGATTTATGAAGAAACTTTCAATTGACGGCAATTGAGAAACATAGGGAGTGTTGAAATCTTGGATATTGTATCGATAAGCGCTCGATTCCATTTATCGTCCTGCTTGCAAAATTCTTGCGAATGGAACAATGCAAGGTCAGCTCAAAACACTACATATTTTTCAAATGGTTCTTCTGACTCTTGTTACAAATTTTGCTGCTTCTCTCTGCATTTCAAAATGTAAGCACTTAATTCCAAATTTACGCGGTCGTGTTTTTCCTCCTACGAAACCAGAAATCAAAGTTTCCAAAAAATAAGAAAGTGTCCAAAGAAGAAAATGTTACATACATGTTTCTTCTAAGTTTACCACAATTTTGCTGTGTAAATCAAGGTGATGAATTTGTTAAAGTTATCTATATAATTATAAATAAAGCACATACATGTTTAAGGAAATAGTATACTACATGAGTTCAGGAGTGCTAGGAATACATAGAATTAGAAACCACGGTAGAACTATTTAAAAGAATTTACAAGCCCCTTGATCCCCTTTCTCATTTTACAGCTGGTATAATCAATTTGACAGATCGATGTCCTTCTATACCACTTGAAATCACTGAAATGGGGTCGATTTTTGATGATCGAGTTCCACATAACGTAGATGTAATTCTGCAAATATGTCGCATTGATTTTGTTAATTTACGTTAATGGTTTGTTAATAATATTAGTTACGTTTGAAATTGAGATGGATCAACAATGGTCTTAGTCGAACCAGCAATAAAATGAATCATCAATTTTAGTTTATAAACAAATATTGATGTTATGGTTGCCAGTGAGCATCAACGTTTTGACAGGTAGGTCGACATGCAGAAACACCCAGAAACACCCAGAAACACCTTCTGATATCCAAAAACACGCAAGAAACAGAATCAACGATCCGATCGCGTCATATCATGAGCAAGGGCACGAACCCACGTAGAATTTATATTGCCATGGTTTGCGTCTCACCTCGTTTGACAGATCTGATCGCCCGTTTGAAAGTTCGAATCGCTCGTTTGACAAATCGAATTGTGGATAAACGAAATGCTTCTGTGGCATGTCGGTTCGTCGGTAATACTAGACCCTCTCTAATCCAAACCAATAGTTCTTTCATATGGCTTATGGTTCAGGTATGGTATTTTTTATTAGGGTTGATCTATTTTACAATTTGTGTTGCTGTATCCAGCTTTCCATGCTCGGTAATGGTGGCCTGTTTGTATGAATAAATGTATCCTTCACTGTGTTATCTGGAGGTTCGGATTTTGTCTCCTCCCTTTCCCTCTCCCAGGAACAAAAGAAAATGAAACAACATACGCCCTCCAGTTAGTGTCAAAAAGCACAGTGAAGGATACATTTATTCATACAAACAGGCCGCCATTACCGAGCATGGAAAGCTGGATAACGAGAAAAGTAGCCAAAAGTGGTGCGTTTCATAATAAAATATAATGTGTTGGACCAGTTTTGTGAAATCACTGGTAGACAATCACGCTAAACTGCTTGACGAAGTGGTCCATTCGCACCACTCAGGTTCAAGCAAATCAGAACACCTCTTGGAAGACATCTTGCTTCTCTCATCAAGCGTGCACCGATGCCCCCACTTCTCAACAACGCCACTACACGCATTTGCGGCCATCGTTTGACGTTGTTTTCTTTTTTCCATCATCCACTTGTAGTTTGACATTTTGTTGCTTCGTGTCGCGATTCGATTGATTAGCGCAGCCCAAGCGGCACTTTCGGAGTTTATATCGGGGAAAATTGTTGAATCGGAAGGAAATATCCGTTCGATTTCCTTCGCGACCAGTTCGGGAACGCTAGTTTGTCAAAAGTAAATTCCATCAGGAACCGCTGGTGGTGCGTTTGTGTGAAATTAGTCGAAACCCGGAGCATCCGCACAACGAGCAAGATGCACACCGTTCTCACCCGAGGGAACGCAATCCTCGCCTATTCGCTAAGCGTGCTGGCCTTCCTGACATTCTGCTGCTTCGCTTCGACCTTCTTCTACGACTACCGGACCAATGCCAAGATCAACACCGTGAAAGTGCTGGTGTAAGTTGATAAGGAAAAAAAATAGTCGAATCCCAAAACACCACGTAAGCGGTTTGCTTTCTTCTTTTCAGCAAAAATGTTCCGGACTTTAGCGCTTCCCGGGAGAAGAATGATCTCGGCTTCCTCACGTTTGATCTCGGCACCGACCTGAACGGTCTGTTCAACTGGAACGTAAAGCAGCTGTTCCTGTACCTGACGGCCGAGTACAAAACCGAGCAGAACGAGCTGAACCAGGTCGTCCTGTGGGACAAGATCATCCTCCGGGGTGAGAATGCCAATCTGGACTTTAAGAACATGAACACCAAGTACTACTTCTGGGACGATGGCAACGGTTTGAAGTGAGTTTTTTTGTTTGCCTTTGATCGGGAATGTCGGATGATGAATTTTCGGTTTGTATTGTTTCAGGGGACACCAGAACGTGACGCTGACCCTCTCGTGGAACATCGTTCCCAATGCCGGCCTGTTGCCGAGTGTGTTCGCCCATGGGCATCATTCATTCAAATTCCCAGAATCGTACATGCCTTCGCCGGTTTAACCGGTGCATTAGAAGACTTCTTAGTTCGTAGCTATCCTCTAACTGTAAAGTGGGAAGTAAGACAGAATACGCCGCAGCTAAATGGTAAGTGCGAGGAGCTGTGTAAGTCTGTTTAAATTAAGTTTCTGCTCGGATAAGTCTCAATTTAAAAATTTAAAGGCAGAACCTCACAAGTATTTGGAGCGTCGAAAAAATCAACAAAAGTAACTAGTGAATGATGAGATAAGTTTGAGAAAATATGAATTGAAAAATCTATGGAAGCCGAAGGAGTGCTTGAGTTCTTCACGAAAGAAAGTCCTGAAAACGTTTATTCAATGATTTATTGCGAAGGGATAGTTCTACAAACAAGTCAATCTCGTCTTCAGCGTACTCCTGAAGTATGCCTTCATCCCGTCATCAATCTTCATCGCCTTGACGCGTTCCGGCTGAAGCAGTTTCTCCAATACATCCCGTTTGTTAATCCAGAATAGCAAGTTCACCAGCAGCACCAGTCCTTCGTTCTTGTATTGCTCATTAACCACCCTGATCGAACCGACATTGGCCACAATATCATCCACGTTCTCCTCCAAACTGTACAGGAAGATGGCATTCTTCTGCTTGGCCAAACAGAGCAACGCTTTCAGCACGTTGAAATCGATGACCGGTTTCTTCAGTAAATTCGGAAGCATCCTCAACCAGAGTGTGAAAATTTCCTGGCTGAAATCAAAACAACTCCGATTAGTCTTCATCGGACGAAAGCATTCAAATATCGAACGTACCCATACTCCCTCCAGAGACGGTCGTTCAGAACGATAATGTCGCAAAACAGAATCAAGATCCGATTGCGCGTTTCCTGTGGTAGTTTCGCCTGAATGTATACCTCAAGCAGTGTCTTCAGCAGTCCTCGGGTGTTCTGATTCACCGCGACACAATCCGTCTCCAGCAACATATACCGGAGAACCTTCAGCAGCAGCGAGCTCACCTCCGGCGAGCGGAACTTCCAATTGTTCACGCAACGCTCCACGTAGTTCACCACCTTGTCGTAGTTCTTGCTCCGATCCGAGCGGAAGTGCTCGTTCATACAGCAGTAAAAGTAGCAAATGTTGAAATTCTGCTGGTAGCACTTCTCGTCCACGTTCCGTTCCTTTGATTCATCGGAAGTTTGTGCCACGCCACGAGCCTTGCCAGTCGCACTCGGACTCTGATAGAAGGGGAACCCCTTGAGAATGTGGTTGCAAAAATCCTCCGAATATTGTTCCCGGAACCAACGGGTCATGTCGGTGTTATTTGTCTCACGGCCGTAGATCACGACCAGCTCCCACAGCTGGATGGCAATGTCCAGCAGGAGCGCCAGCGTCGTTGCCGCTTCGTGGGACAACACGTGCTCGGCCGTTTCGCCACCGCTGGACGTGGGACGAACCTCGAGCCAGGATTCGAACAGCAACGGCATCATCATCTGGACGTAGGTCTTCAGCTTGCGACCTTCGTCGATCTGGTCGGACAGTGAGAGTTTGTCTTCGCCAATGGATTTACGGAAGAGACAGGTTAGCGGGCACGGCTGGTAGAGACGGTGCCGTACCAGAGGGAAATGCTGCGGGGCTTTGTAGTCGAAGACGTTGTTGATGCTAAGCGTTTTGGACGAGACCTGGGATGATTTGGTGGTGAAGCTGTGTGAAGACGTTGACTCGTTAGATGGGAGTTTGATTGTTTAATTATAGGCCTAGTGGTATATTATTTTAAACATTATCTGGAAATCCTTGGAAGCTTTGCTGAATACTATTTTAATAGCTAACCGTAACAGAGAGTCCAAAAACTTCAGCTTGAATTTCTGAGGAAGAACTTCTTCACATAGCTTCTCTGAACTTTTCAATAGAAGTACTTTCGATCAGAACTTCTAATGATTGGTCTCAAGCAAACGATTTACGTACCCCATTCTAGTCGAAATTCTAGTACTACACTGTTTGTTTTGATTCACTAAGAAAGTTTGACAGATAAAATGAGGGGTTCGTGGGTTTTCCTATGTTTCGAGGGGTGCATCGATTAGCTTGGGACCGAAGATAGTACCAGAGCTGAGCCAAAAAGTTTAGCACGTTTCTTCGGGACCTACTAATCTTAGAGTCCCTAATAAAAATTGTATGGTTAATTTGCTTAACGACGTGTTCTGGGTATCATCCAAACCATTTGTGGAATAGTTCAATGATTTGGGTTATCGTTCGTTTATGGTTATTTTTTATTAGGGGTTACCTCTATAGAGGTAACTCTAAGACCAAAAGGTCCCGAAGAAACGTGCTCAACTTTTTGGCTCAGCTCTGGTACTCTCTTCGGTCCCAAGCTAATCGATGCACCCCTCGAAACACAAGCAATAATCTATCGGTCATTTCGTATTTTTAGTCAGTTGATAATAGGACGAGCAATTAATAAACCAAAAAAAAAATTCCAGGGATTTCAATATATACATTTCAATTCTCATCTGAAATCCCTCCTGCTTGTCACGCTGAAAGAGTTAAGCTCAAATTTCGCGACAAATGAAAATGAGTTTTCATTATGCTAGGAACTGCAAACTTTAATATCGATTTCATTTTGTTAACCGACTTTGTTCGGGAATGACATCAAGATGCCTAACCGAAGTCGATTTGATTCTAACTAGTTTTCAATCCAACAAGTAGGCTTACTCAGTTCATGACATGACATTGGAGCATTTCGTTTGTCCGCAATTCGATTTGTCAAATTAACGATTTGATCTGTCCAACGAGGTGAGACGCAAACCAAGTCAATATAAATTTACCGTGTGTTCGTGTCCTTGCTCATGATATGTCGCGATCGGATGAGTAGATGGCGGTAGTGTTTAACGGCGTCTTGGGCAAGATTTTGAAAGTAGCTTCTATGAGCTGTCACGTCGGTTCGTCGGTGCCTTAACTGCCTTCCCTATGCCTACTATGATCTATGATTTTCTTATAATCACCTGAATATTAGGACCTGAAACCTAACCTGATCCAAGAGTGTATCAAGTTAAAGATTTCTAAAACATTTTTGTTTTTATTTAGCACTACGAACACGATGCCTCAGGTAAAATGTGTAAAAGCAAACTGAAAAATCTTAGCTCAGCTATTTATTAACAAATTTCAAATCTATTGGCGCCATTTGAAACTACAGACTTTAAAGATTTATTCGGTATCAATAGATTCAAAATCGATCGATAAATTGCTGAACAATGATTTTTCAAACATTGCAAATTTGCCATTACCCATTTACCGGAGACATCGTGTTCGGAGTGTTAATCTCTCGACAACCAGCATCCATACTTACGGATTATTCTCGTCCCCGGTGTCCATCGGTTCATCCTCCACCTTCGACTCAACCACCGTTCCGTCGTCCCGCTTTTTGCTATCGATCAAAATTTTCAGCATCCCAATCAGCCGCATCAGGACCCGGGTTCTCCACTTGGTGCTCGTCGATTGCTTGTTCAAGCTCAATGTCAGCGTCCGTTCCGGTTTGGATTCACTCCTCAGCTTGGAAATCATATCCAGAAACTGCGGAAAGATCTTGTCCCTATTTAGCAGAACCAACTGCGGTAAATGCTGTAGGTACGTATCCAGCAGCAGCAGTGCATCTTCCTGAATTCTCGGCTGGATGTGGGTCATAGCGCAGCGGAGGAACGACAGCAGAACATCGAAGAACGGGAGCACATTCTCCTGCCCGGCGGCTGCGAACAGCAAACCCAGTGTTTTGTAGCAATCCCGACGCACATCCCGTTCCACGTCGATGGAAATACTAGCGATCGACTTGATGGCTGTGCTCAGATGGTTTTCCGTTACCTCCGTTGGGAGTTTGCCGAGGATCTCGCGCAGACCCCGAAGGCCTTCGCATTTCGACGTCGAATTGCTTTGCTTCAGTTTGGACAGGCAGTCGTTGACCGACAAGCTGCGACTGGAGAGGACAGCCGCATCCGTTAGGTTCCGCTGCTTGATCTGATCCGGAATGACGATCTTGCGTACTTTGAAATTCGTCTTTGTCACATTGGCACCTTTCGGAAGCTTTGCACCTTTGAGCGAACTTTTGAGCTTGATTTTACTTTTCTCCGCTTTCTTGAATTTTCTCGAATTTCCACCCATTTTTGCACCGGAAAATCTTCAAACGAAAAAAACGACTCTTCTGCGCGCACAGAGAAACCAAAATAAACAAAAACACGTGCGGGCTTCGGGTTGAGATTTTTGGGTGCAACGAACTGACAGCATTCGTGCTGCCATTGTTCTGAACTGTCAAAAAAGTGCATCCAAAAATGAAAACAAAACACTCCAGCTGATTGCAGCCGATATTTTTTTACATAACATCGAGGTAAGTGCGCATTTTTTGCAAAATTTTACTGTTTTCCACTGTATTCCGACCAATTTTAGGGCACACCGTGAAATTCGACCGTACCATGGGTGGCTGGATGATGGAAGTCGGCCGGATGGCCCTCTATATGACCTTCCCGGTGGCGATGTTCCACTGGTTCAATCAGCCGGAGTACTTCGAAAAGTGGGTGACCGAGACGAGGCGACAGATCTTTCCACCGGAGAACAAGGAACACCGGGAGGCGGTCGAGAACTGCATCAGAACGATCCGAGAGAAGAACGATCGCGAGCTGCTCGAGGCGCTGGAAAAACTGGAGAAGAAGGAACGGCAGTAAGGTGCGGGTAGTGGAATTTAATTGTAAATAGCGAATAAATTGTTAAAATAAGACAAGAAATAATCGGTACTATTGCAAAATGTTGTGAAATTTATAGACAAAATTCATTCCCGAGTTTTAGCTGAGGTATCGAATTGTTCTTATTAATGCAGCAGGATGGGATGCACTTCAGCCAAGGGGTAATTTTATGCTTTTCCGCAAGGATGTCAACAGGGACGCCAGATTTGAAGACATGAGCACGGCGAATGAGAACAACTCAAATTTGAGTTAAGTAATTGTAATTGTAATTTATTATTGTAACGTTAGCCTGTCGGTTACACCATTGCTCAGGTCAAGGAAAACACAACATTTGATTTTTAACTAAAGGAGAACAATAAGTCATTAGTGGAAGTAGCTTTCTTAGTAAACTAGGTTTGAGATCCTGTTGAGAGCGCTGTCTTGAATGCGCTGATCTTTGTATGTCGTCGTGTTGCTAGAGGGAGCTGGTTCCAGATGATTGCACCTGCGATCATCACACTCTTCTTCTTCTTCGATGTGGTGTGATGGGGAATCGCAAAGCAGCGGGCCCGCTCAAGCTGTCCTCTTCTCAGGTGTTGCTGCAGATAAGGTGGGAAAGTTCCTGCGTACCCTTGGCGAATAAAACAGCTGATTCTATTCCGGTAATTTGTGTCCAGGTCGTGTCCCAAAATAGAGTTCCTTACAGCAGCAGTGGATTCTCTGCGTGTGAGGCCATAGACAAAGCGAACTGCTGCCTTGAAACAACGGTTTAGTTGATCACGGAGCGCTGATGACAGTCCAGGATAGTAAGTGACGTCACAGTAGGTGAAAAACGGCACGACCACTGCTTGCACCAGCTTTATTCGGGTTTGAACTGACAAAACTGGAGCGAATCTTCGGAGTGTCCGCAACGTTCCAAAAACTTTGGCCGTTATGTCGTTCACATGTCCATTCCACTTCAGGTTGCGATCCATCCTTAGACCAAGATTCACTACGTTGTCAGACAAAATAATGTGTTCTCCGCAGAAAACGATGTTAGTGGTTGGTGCTACCGCTCCTTCTTTGCAAAAAATAATTGCTTGCGTCTTCTTCGGGTTGGGGAAAAGAGAGTTCTGCCTGGCCCATCGCTCTATGCTTTCCAGATCGTTGTTTATGGCTTCGACGAGTTGGTCTACGTTTTGGATGGCACCAGAAATGTAGATCTGTAGGTCATCAGCGTAGAGCTGATAACTGCATCTCAGTCCACGGGGAAGGCTATTGATGTAGAGGCTAAATAGCAAAGCGCTCAAGCACGAGCCCTGGGGTGTACCATCTATCACCGATCTCTGGGAGGACATCACATTTCCTATCCGTACCGCCTGGGTGCGATGATCGAGGAAAGAAGAGATAAGGTCGCATGCATTGTCGGTGAAAGAAAATTCCTCTCGAAGTTTTCTCTGTAATTTGCGATGATCAACACAGTTGAAGGCCAACGAAAAGTCAATCAGGACCATAACTGTACACTGCTCGTTGTCGAAATTGTCATAAATATCGTGCGTCACTTTTGCCAAAGCTGTTGTTGTGCTATGGCCCTTTCTGTATCCTGATTGGTTCGATGCAAGCAACCTACGATCGTCCGCTTCCACGTGCCCAACAATTTGGTCGAGCAGGATCTTCTCGAGAATCTTGGAGATGGCAGGGAGAACACTAATTGGCCGAAAGTGTTTAGGTTCAGTCGGATTTGTTACCTTTGGTATGGGCGTGATGAGACCTTTTTTCCAGACGGTAGGGAACGATCTGGCATCAATCACCGCATTGTACAGGTGAACCAGTACAGGCAGTACAAACGGGACCAACATCTTAACGAATGAGATAGGGATTCCATCTGAACCTGCAGCATTGGTTTGAACTTCCATAATCTTGCGTGACACTTCGTTGGCTGTAGTCCTTCGGAATTTGAACTGCATCCCACCACGGTCCGTAGCGGTACGGTGCGCCGGTTCAACTTCTGCTCTATTGTCAGTCACAAGCAGTCGATGTCCCTCGCAGAAGAAACGGTTCATCTCATCAGGATCAGCATGTTCAGCGGCAACGTTCTTCTTGGCGTTGTTATGCACACCCTCACGCCGGAGGTTGCTCCAAAGCTTTTTTGCAGGGAGGTTGTGTGCAAAATGCGTTTCTCCGTATCGCTTCTTTGCTGCTGAGATCAACGATGCTGCCTTACTGCGTTTTCGTACGAAGTCGTTCCACTGATTGTCGTTCCTTCTCATGTTGGGATTTCGCGTGTAGAGTGCGTGTGCTAGGTCTCTCACGGCAATCGCCCTTTCAATTTCTGTTGTAATCCATGGCGTACGTGCATCTTTTACAACAATTTCACGTTCAGGAGCGTGTCTGTCCATTAGGTTTTGCAGTTTGGTTGTTATTGTCTGTGCTTTAGTGTTAACGTTGTCGGTGTTGAGTGCCTCTCTGAAGTCCATTGTTTGGAAGTCTGCCTGAAGTGCAACAACATCAACATTACGGAAATTTCTGACCATAATACGCTGAGGTGCTGCTTTTCTAACTTTAACGTCAGAGATCAAGAAGATGATCTCATGATCTGAGAGGCTCGAGGATTTTGTCTTAGCTGTACGTATAGATTCAGGACTGTCTGTGATGAGTAGATCGATTGTCGTTGAACTTCTTTCTGCTATTCTTGTGGGTGGTGTTGGTAGGATGGTAAGGTGGTAGTTCACTCATAATCGCCAAAAGTGCAGGAACTCAGCGATGAGTAAAATTTGTCCCATGGTTTCCTGTGGAAAACCTTAAAAATCTGCCGTAAAATGAGGAAATTGACGAAAAATCTATTCAGTCTCGGAGTAGTACCAATATACTGAGTGAATCCAATCTTTACTTTTCTCAAATTCGCGAATTTTCCCCTGGAAAATCCTGGGAAAACATGAGACAAATTAACTCATCGCTGAGATCCTGCACTTTTGGCGATTATGAGTGAACTAAACTCAAATTTGAGTCGTTCTCATTCGCCGTGAGCTCAATCGAAATGGATTACACAGAGAAAAAAAATACCCTAAATTTAAGCTCAAGTCGAAATGGATTAGGTTTCTTCGTCGATTTTCTCTTTGCATCTCCCCGACCAGTTCGATAAAAGAAGTTATTATCAAGCATCTAATAAGGTGAACCCTAATAAACAAATACCATATCCGAACGGTGACCCGGATGTTAGAACTATCCCACTAATGGTCTGGATGATACCCGAACACGTCTTAATGTTCTTTCTTATGGTTATTTTTTATTAGTGAACACAAGAAATGGTAAACGACGCCGGTGGTGTAGTGGTAAGCGTGATTACCTCTCACCCCAGCAGGCCTGGGTTCAATCTCAGTCGGCGCCGCCGGGATGTTCTGAGGCATAACATCTCTGATCACGCCTTCCTTCGGATGGGAAGTAAAGCCGTTGGTCCCCGGTTCATGAGTTGATGGGTCGATAGGTAGGGTCCAGGTGTGGGAGCTGCCTTCCTGGCACGTCGGTAGCATTGGTGCTCAGCACGGAAAACAAGATCGACGAAAAAAAAACAAACCAAAGGAAAAAAAAAAAACAATAAATGGTTTTGTATTGCGCATTTCACACCAAACTGAACAAATAAACGCATTTCCACTTATTAAAAAGTGCGAGTGTCCGTCTAAGATGGCGGCCAGGGTAGACGTCTTGCACGGCCAATCAGACACAGAGCATTTTGTTTCTATACGAAATTTACTCATATTTGGAAAAACCTGCAGTTACTCATAAGCTATGAGTTCCTGCCGGTTTTCCCAAATATGAGTAGATTTCGTATGGAAAGAAAATGCTTTGAGTTAATTTAATTCTGTCGCTGAGTCGTTCTAATTGGCCGTGTGGTACATCTCGGCCATGTTGAGACATTCCTAGCTAATTTCAGTACACAGATCGATGAAACAAGCTATTATCTAGCATTTTATATGACAAAAAACGACAAGAAACGGTTCAGTTCCCAAATTATAAACGAATAAGAAAGTCGACGAAGAGAATCGATCAATGTTACTTAGGACTTAATGCAATGTTCAGTTTGTATGAGTTAAGCTACTTTTCTTCAAAATATGTATTTTTACCAATTAATGGGAACTTTCAAGTTAGCGTGTCAGACTTTAGCTGAAAACTTTTCTAAAATCTTCTGGCATCCCTGATCACCAATGTTTGATCGAGAATCGATCAAATTACCCAAAATGCTGTCAGTTCAGTAGTTCTTTCAAAACAAAACTTCGCCAGAAGTAAACACGAGTTCTCGCTCGTAAGTTCACGTTTTTGGCCAGATTTCACACATTCGCAAGGATATTATTGTCCTGCGGGTATCTGCGCATCCGTAACACTATTTTCACATTGGCAAAATGGTAAGTGTGCAAATTATTCCCATTTACAGCGTTGAAAAAACGCTCCACTTAATCGCTAACCTCTACGTGCTTTCCTCATTTACTACCTCGACAGGGCAAGAAGAAATTTATCGACAAAAAGAAAGCGGTCACATTCCGGCTGGTAAACCGTAGCCAGCAGGATCCGCTGTACGTGGACGAAACGGCCCCGCAGCATGTACTGGTTCCGGTTTTGACACCAGGCAAGGATGACCCCCAAGCATCTGGCACTGCTTCGCGGGCTCCCTCCTCCACTGGACAGGTAAGCTCCCGACTAATAATTAAGATTTGCACCATTTATACTATCCCTCTTATCGTTTGCAGATCGACCCGGAAAAGCGCAAAAAAGATCAGGCCAAGTTCGGCGTGTACTTTGACGACGATTATGATTACCTGCAGCATTTGCGAGAACCCGGTCGCAACGAGGTGTACTGGGAACCGGTCCAACCAGCCAAGACGGCCGGTGCCGAAAAGGTGAGCATCCAGCTGCCCAGTTCGGTATTTGCTTCCGAGGTGGAAGAGAAGGAAGGACTCATGAAAAAGAAGGCACAACAGCGTCCGGGTCCCCGGCCGGACTGGGATCCGGATGTGGTGGCCGCATTGGACGAGGACTTCAACTTCGATGACCCTACCAATGCGTTGGAGGATAACTTTATGGAACTGGCCATGGGTGGCGAAGATGATTGCTTCGACGAAGAGGACGAAGACGGCGAGTACAGTGATGTAGACTCGAATGGGGCAGCAATGTCGGATGACGGCGACGAAAACCGGGACGGTTTGGGACCGTTGGCTTTCGATCGGGAGGAGACCAAGTCCAGATTCACAGAATACTCGATGAGCAGTAGCGTGATTCGGAGAAACGAACAGTTGACGCTGCTGGATGATCGGTTCGAGAAATTCTTCGAGCAGTACGACGATCCGGAACTGGGAGCGCTGGATTGTGAGGATATCGAAGGGCACGTCGAGATCAATGACGATGTGCTGCTGCAGTACGCCGAAAGATATCGGAAGGAAAGGGACGAGAAGTACGACGTTGCTTACGATAAGCAGTGGGACAAAGAAAGGTAGGTGGTGCAAGTTGAAATCCCTTTTGAGGTAATAATTCGTGATGAACATGGCAAAAAGTCACTTCAATAAGGTTTTAAAACAATAACCTTTCTATGTAATGGCATTAGAGGAAGCCTAATTTGGGATTATGTAGCTCAAATCATCGTCAAAGTTGTGGGCTTAATTCCAGACGATTTAGGAGATAAACCTTCGGATCATGTGCCGAGCTCTTTCAGGAGCAATCACATGTTCTGATGACCTTCTAGTCAATTACGGAGAATTTCTAAGAAAAGCACAGGACAGGAAAATTTTTCAAATGGAACAAGTTTAAACCACCCCAAATCATGTCCGATTGAGCCCTAATTTTGCAAAGGATCTTGTATATGGTCGGTTTGAAAAATTCGAAGGCCTCTTTTGCATGCATTTCATGTGCACCTAATCAGGATGTCGACTACCTGGAAAATCAGGGAAATACGTCTTAATCACACAAACAACTTAATTACTCGGTGCAGTTTGAAGATAGTTATTCATTTTAAATAGAGTTGCGAACTTGTGGTTGCTCAATGCTTGATGTTGCAGTTTTTCAAGTTAGGCAAAAATTACTCAAATAAAAGGGTATTTTGTTAATTTTAACCCTAATATAAATTCAGATCCACATTGCTGAGTTCAACTGAGATCCTGTGGGTCGATGAAAATCCATTTCTGTAGGCGCTAGACGTGCGTCTGCTCGATCCAGCTGCGTCCAACAAAAATCAATCCTTTTAGTGCATTGGAGCGCCGTTGAGTAAATGCAAGAATGGTAAAGTGTTAAAGAAGAGGATGATTTTTTTTTTACTGAATACTTGTGTACTGCCTATTATAATAATGGCATATCAGTCCCGTATTGTTTTTCATCAATTTTGAAATAACAACGCTATCCACTATCAATTGGCATCTACTTTCATATTACGTGATAAAACTTCGAATCATAAAAAATGTGAAGACAATATCAAGTCAGTTTGTCCCATCAAGCAAAATAATCGCATCCTGAAATTGAATTGTCCACAGTTCAAGTTAAAGTTGTGTTTTTCGAATTGCCATATCTTTCGCCGATATAACAAAACATGCAGGCAAGGGGTATTCAGCTCTGTACACTGTGCCGAAACACAGCATGGCACACTATTCGGCTCTTTAGTACAAACGTTGATAAGTAGGTTACAATCAACATAATATAAAACGACATCACTGTCGAGAGTTGACGTTTTGCCAATCGTTGCTAAGGTTGACTTCTTTGTTTACTCCATTGGGCTTCACATTGGGTTCGGATTCCAAGAGAAAATGCTGTGAGTATTGTCTGCATCGTGGAACTAAGTTGTTTATCTCATCCGATTCGTAGCGAAAATCCCAGCGGCTCGTGGTTTCATCCAGAATAGCTTCACGCCAACAGCGCTCTGCCACACCATGGTCGGTCGAGAGGGTCGATACGACAGTCAAGATGGCCAAAATGGTTTTCCTCTAGCAACGGTTGGTCAAATGCCTGTAAGATCGTCCAATACGACGGTACGGTGCGGAATGCGATCGGCGAACTGAATGGACAAAAATCCTCTGAACGACGACAATATTGTGGCTCTGCGGAGGATTTTTGTTTTGTTTTACAAGGTTGTTATGCAGAACGAACGATACAGAAAAAGAAACAGGGGTGAATGTGATGGGTTTTGTATTTCGGCCAGGTTTGAAATGTTATCGTTTTCTTCTACGTTTTTCCTTAGGTATTCTTGCCAGTCATTGGTACTATAATAGTACGTTCAGACTACAGAGTTATAACATGTTATAGCGCTATCTTGATGGTGGTTTCTGTGTTGCAATTAGTTGACAACCGTTATAACATGTTATAACTCTCCAGTCTGGACAGCGTTTAAGGCTCTGAACCATTTGGTGGATTATTTTAACTTTTGGTTAAAATTTGACAGATGAAAAGTTATCGATTAACCCTGCTATCCGAGCGTGGTTATTTCTGACAGACAAGAAGTTAAATTTTGACAACCGTGGCTGAGTTCTGCTCGAAAACCGATCGACCGGTAACACAGGGATTTTCGAACATAAGAAATAACTTTCGAAATGTCACTTTTAGCCACGAGTTGAATTTAACTCGGCAAATGGTTCGCAGCATAAGTAATTCTGGGGGGTGGGACTTGCTGTCAAATCAGCCTACTGATCATTCCGGAGAACTTCGAGATTAGGGCGTAATTGCTTTTGTAAACAAACACGTCATTTGCCGATTTCTCGCAAATTAAAGTTCAATCTAAAAAACTAACAACACAATCAGGTAGAAGAATGATTCCTTTATCATTTGGTATAGTTTGTTTGCTAGTTTGTTCTTTTATTCACGAGATATCGGCGATTGGCGTGTTTGTTTACAAAAGCAATAACGCCCAAATCTCAAAGTTCTCCGGCATTCTTATATGAAACTGGTTCCAAACGTAAATAAACGCTGTAGGTTTCTTATGGCTTGTTTGCTTTTGGAACCAGTTATGCGAGGTAGGCGACGATTGTTCGTATTTGGCAGTCACCTCCCCCCTTGAAGTAATTTGCTTTTCGGCAAGATCCCATGGGCGTGCAGATGAACAACAACAACCACAGGGTACAGTGAACTGCAGATCCGAGGTATGACAGATATGAAGTGGGGGGACATTTGATGGTTTTCACTGGTGGTACATTGGTCATTGGTTTTGATGGGTGGTACCTTGTGAAAGGTATCACATCTGCAAAGGATCGTGAGCTGAGTCGATCAGAACTGTTTCTAAGGTGGTAGTGAACTTTCGTCCGTTCGAGTTCTGGGTTTGATTTTGTCGGGGAGCAGTTTACTGGCAGCTGGTGAAAATTTCGTCGACCGTCTGTTTTTTTGTGGGCGAGTTGTATTGCTTCCAGTTCCTCTTCCACTGCCCAATTCGCTCTCATTCTAATGAGAATGGAGCTTAATATTTGTCATGAACCATGTTCATGAATTAGATAAATTGAAAATGTAAACACAATCACAAAAAGTCTGACTTCAGAGTTACCAAACTCATGGGATATTGACTCCTAGATTGATACACTTCGGTCTACTTCGGAATGATCGGCACAACGCTTGGCACAGCTTTCGGCATTACCAAAACACTAAGTTTTTACAGCACGCAATAAACTTATATGCTATAAGTAATAAACTTGAAATGCGAAGAAGAAGAAGAAGAAGAAGTTGTTCAGAATATTGCTTACAAATCATAAGTAAGATTGGCGTTTTAACAACATTTGAATTAGTTTATGACAAAGGCTTTACTAACATAATCTACAATGTAAAGCTATATAATATGGGACGTATTATTTATGATTCACTTTTTATAAAAGAAATTTTTCCCTGTTTTTTACTAATTCGAATAAGAAGCTACAGGTACATCGATAGAATTCTTATTGATTCAGTAATCATTCGCTCGTTGGGGGTTTTTCTGTGTGTTTTTTGAAGTTTGCAAATTCGGTGACATCCAAGGGATACTCTACTCTGCACATCTCAATCTGTGCCGAAAGTTATGCCCAGCGTTGTGCCGAATGTGCCAAAGTGTGGCAATCAAGCTGTCGGTCTCAGTACCCCATAAGTTTGGCAACCCTGCAGTTATGACTTATGAGATTATTTGTTTGCCTTGTCAAGTTCTCACGGATGGTTAAACGAGCTATTTGTGTGCATATTGCATAGTATATATGAGGAATATCACTGTGCCTGTCCTTTTATAAGTAAAACGAGCCAAAAATAACACGCATGTGAGTCTTCAACGGTCAAGGTTCAACGATGCCAAACGAATGAGAAGATTGACAAGCGCTAGATCGCCGGTCACTGCTGGAACTGTTGGCCAGCATACGCTGACCGTTGCCAACCTCGAAGTTCTGCCCCTCTACGAGCAGGAAAAGGATGACTGATGGCAGAAGTTGTCCACCCATGAGAAGAAAGTTCGGTACCGGGTGTCATTCTGGTAGACGTTCACCGAATTCTGTATCATAAGTACTCAACCGGCAAGTGGAAGATGTGCCTCTACATTATCATCATGCTACTCGGGCAATGCTACAACCTAGAAATCAGGAATGATTCTACCTAAAATTCCCACCGGCAATAGTAGCAGCAGCAATAGACCTTCAGTAGATTCCTTATGTCAGCAGTCGCTGTTGGGTGCTGAATTCGTCTAACTGAGTTATACAATAATTTTTGGTGAGATAGTCAAACGACTGCGGTTTGCCATGGCTTTGAACTTTTGAACACCCTCATAAATAAACAGGAGGCTTAAACTGCTGAGATTGTTCATTAACGAATTTAAAATTTACTAGTGTTGCTCTTCTTCGTCTTTCTCATGGCTCTCAACTTCTTACTTTTCCACATCCGAGTAATATCCAACACCATCCAAATGCTGGGCCAGGATCTTGATACCGGTTGCCAACGTTTGATCCGCTTGCTTGCTATTTATAGCCCTGAAACTGCTGGCGGTTCCGATTGCATTTATTGATACCGCGGTTCAGATTGGCTTTGTTACCTCCGGTGTGGTTATACCTTTACAATTCTGCAAGCAGAATACTTCTTAATGTTGCTAATACAGGATCCATTAACTCCACCTGCCTCCATAATCAATCGAAACTCCGAGATCGTTCAGTCCATAGAATGAGCTGTACGGTTGACTGATTGGTGGACCATCAATCGTACCGAGCAGTTCTCCGGGAAAAACAGCCGCGGTTGCAGACGCATCTACAGAATGGCAGGACAGTTCTGAACCGATTTCTTGTTGACACCATACATCAATGCTGCAATTGGAACTGGATTCTGCAATTCTCTTTACCTATACAATTTTCATTCGGCCCGGATCCTATGGCCATCTGGGGTAAGCAGGCCTATTCTACGTGGCATGGAGACTCTGACTAATTTGTTTGGGTTTCCCCCAAAACATAAATCTTTTCGAAACTATGGATATCCGCCAAATACCCTCTAGACTTTCTTTAGAATTCCATCACAGAACAGATAGGT